GTAATTTTTCTCAGAATCTTCAACCACAAGGAAAGGAGGCCTTTTATAAAACTTTAACTGCACTTGGTATATTACCTGCTCTAGAAATTACTTTAGCAATGAATGATGCCCAAACAAAAACCGCCAGTATAGATATATTGACTTATATAGTAGAATATTCTCCAAGTGTTGTTAGAGATTATACATTGCAACAAATAAATAATACAGAACAGGACCAAATGTTAATAAATGTAATAGTTGCTCAACTTGTTGGCGATAGTGATCCAGAGTTGGGTGGAGCAGTACAATTAGCTGGTGTGCTACGCTTGCTCCTAGATCCAGAAAATATGTTGGCTTCTGTTAACAAATCAGAAAAGACTGATTTCTTAAATTACTTTTACAAAAATAGTATTGGAACATTGATAGCACCATTGTTAGCAAATACAATTGGAGAACGACCAGCAAGAGAAGATTATAGAACAGTACAGCTTTTAGGATTAATTTTAGAATTACTATCATTTTGTGTAGAGCACCATACTTATCACATAAAAAATTGCATATTGAATAAAGATCTGCTCAAACGGATACTAGTTTTGATGAAATCAACACATACATTTTTAGTATTGTGTGCTTTAAGGTTTATGAGAAAAATTGTAGCTTTGAAAGATGAATTTTATAACAGATATATCATTAAAGGAAATTTATTTGCGCCTGTATTTGATGCATTTGTGAGAAATAATGGTAGATATAATTTGCTGGATTCTGCTATTCTTGAAATGTTTGAATTTATTAAACTGGTAAGCATGTATATACACTTTTTTTTATACATATACAAAAAAAAATTATATATTATATTATATCTAATTTTATTGTAGGAAGACATTAAATCGTTATGTTCACATGTTGTTGAAAATTTCTCGAAAGAATTAGAAGCAATTGATTATGTACAAACATTTAAAGCTTTGAAATTAAGGTATGAACAGCATCAAGATAAATTGAAAGATCGAGATAGAGCAAATCTTGATAGGTATATATTTTTAAATAAACAATTTTTTGAACAAATTGTCTTCTATAGAAAATAGTTCTAATATATATATTTCAATTATAATTATTTAGTGTTCCATCCATACTGAGAAATAGTCGATATAGAAGGGACCAGAGACAATTAGATGAAGAGGAAGAAATGTGGTTCAATGAAGAGGAAGACTTTGATGAGGGTGAGGCGATCGTACCCGCAACAGCAGCAGATCTCGTGCCTCCGGCTTCTGCTAAGAAACAATCATCAACTTCAAATTCTGCACTTAATCCTGCTCTTGCAGATTCTAAAAGTCATCACCAACAACAGCAGCAACAACAATCCGTGTTAAACAATAATACTGCTAATAATAATATTACCTCACAACAATCACAAATTAATAATTCCTCTACAACAACGAATGAATCTCCGATTACGTCGGAAATCAATCCAAATTCAACTATTGGCGCGGTAGAAAAAACTGGAACTGCATTATTTAAAAAAGTAAAGTTTTTTTTTTTTTATAAAAATATTCAATTATTTAGGAAGTTATACTATTATATTGATTACCAAGGTACATTTATAATAATATATAATAAGATACATTTATAATAATATATTTTTTAGGGCTTGGTTGATTATGAAGGAGATTCAGACGAAGAAGACGAGGACGCCGAAGTTACACCCTCTCCAAAACGACAAAGATTGTCATAGTAGGCAAATTGGGAAAAAACTAAGGAATTTGTGATTTTTAATTGCTGCTACTATTTCTGGCCCTTCTACGTGCATAAAAAATTAGATGATCGTACTGATAACTTTTTTACCAGATAAACGATCATCTTTAAGTGTGTGGATGTAATGAGGTTACATGTTCACAATATAGTGAAAACTGACATACCTCTTTGTGCTGGGTTGTGTATAAATATGCAAAAACATCAGAACTGAATGCAGGTGGGTGAAAGGGTCTAGGAAATGGAATATATATATATATAATTAGGATTTAAAAAAAAATAAATGATGAACCAATATGATATAAAGAAAGAGAGAACTTTCTTAAAATAAGAAACTAAAACATATGATAAAGTTGTGGCATAATATTGGATGACCACATAAGTGTTAAAAATAATAAGGTTTTAACAAGAAATAGTCCATTCCACATTGTCTGGAAATACCCCATATACTAGGAAAAATTATTTCATGAATAGGCTAAGAAACTCTAGCCAGGCCTAGTGGTTCTAACAAGCAGTCTCTAAGCGTATGCTTAGATTCATATAATAATTGAAATTGTGACTTTATGTCATATTTACATTTATTAAGAAGAAACTTACTATGTAAAAAAAAAAAAAAAAAAATTACATGTAAAAGTACATGATGTACCGCACAAAAACAACTAAGTGTTTTGTTTTGCCATCCATACATTTTTTTATTCGTGTGATAGGCAATGAGACTTTAAAAGAGTCAAACATCATGAAACTTTATCCAATTTAAGGGAAATAGTATTTAGTTTGTATATATATGTATATTTGTAACGATTGTAAAACAACTATTCGTAGGTAAAGCAGAGAAAATGCGATTCCTTTACAAATTCAGTTCCCATTTAAAGTTCTTTAAATGAGCTTTTCGGTTGTCAATGTAAGTAGTAGAAATTGTACAATAAACATATTTGATTTGTGTATATTTACCAGTTTGCACTTCATGTCCGCAATTCACTCCTTGATGTAAAAGAAAAAGTATATGTGAAAGTGTTTTGCAATCTTGAGCATTCAATATGATATATCATATGCGTATAAATTATTCGTAATTAATATGGATAAGAATAGAAGCTTGATATTATTGTACTTTGTAAAGAAATGATAAAAAAAAATGGAAATATTAAGTATATCTATGAAAATTTATTCTTGCGAAATTCTATTATATATAACATTTTATAGAATTATTTGTTTTTATCTAAATTATTTTTTGTGTAACATTTCCTTTTTTTTTCGTAATTGATGATAAAGAAAGAAAAAAGATAATGAAGTGTTTCGAAGTATTATATTAATGAAAATCATACAGATGATGAACATTATTTTTAGCGTTAATATCATATCAAAATTAAAATGAAAATTCATTATCTACATCAGCTCCAGATAAGAATGTCTACTTAATTCTTGAACTACTAATGCACAACCGAGAAAGCTGGTATTATAATAGTTTAAATTAACGTCCTTTTAATTTATAACGATATGAATTTCTTTAGAATGTTTTTATTTCTTTCTTTATGTTTAATATTATATTAAGACCATGTGCCTCCATCTTGATTGAATTAATTCAAACAAAGTGGAACGAAAATATTATAAGCTAATGTATAAATATTCTACATCGATCTCCATATATCGTGAACAGAGTTTCTAAGACTGCTTTTGACATGTATATGTATATTAAAATTTTTTCGTAAATATTATACGTATACGTACCGTACGCATATATGCATATATATATATATATATTAACTTATGATACTGAGAAGAAATGGTTTTTGAAAATTAATTCAATCGAAAGATATAAGCGAAAAGAATCTGTTAATATCAAAGTAGGCAAATTCGCTGGAGCTGACTAATATACATGTATATAAGAAGAAAGAAAAATGAAAAAAAAGAATGTAATTTGAACTGAACATGAAAATAAGGAGTGATCTAGATGATCTAGAAAGACGGGATGGGGGGGGGGGAGTGAATGAGAGAGTGAGTGAGTGAATGAGAGAGAGAGAAAGGAGGGGGGGGGGGGGAATAAGAGTGAAAGTAAAAGTGAAACTATAATAAAGACTAATAATTAAAAGGATATCGAGTAATGTTATCCTTTATGTGTTTCATATAATGTTCAAGATTTATTCGATATTAATGACAAAAAAAATTAAAATAATCTTGCATTGGATATATTTTAAAGGGAACTGTAAGTAAGAGGAAGAACGTTGAAAAGGAAAGAAAAAGAATCGATATTTAAATAATACTAAAGTGTGGTCGTAAATGCTATGTAAGCTAAATTTCATACGCAGCACTCACATATATACGTATATTTATATGAAGTGTTTCAGATTTGTTGTGCATTGCTTTCATTATTATTATTTTCTTATTTAATATTCTTATTATCGGTGCTTTGAATATATATAAGAAAAAAATGAAATTGTTGAATACAAGCTTGAGGTATATTATGTTCCTCAAAGGAACGCATTACTCGAGTATTCGAAGATCAAGAAAATGAAACTCAATTAATGTTTTTCTTTTTTTTTATTCCAGCTTCCTCTTCGTTTAATATGCATGTATTAATCGCTTTTTTCATATTTCGCTTTTGCAATCGATTATAATTATATAATCGATTTATAATTTTATTTATAGTCGATTTTTTCTTAACCAGAAGAAAATCAATTTTATGATTATATATATATATAATCATTTATATATATGTTTATATATACATATGTGTATATATATATATATATATATATATATATATATATATATATATGTATATATGTATATGTACCTATGTATGTATATATATGTATTCAATGAATCTTATTTAATATAATTGTTGAAAATAGTAAATACTTTTGCAATTCTTTCTTTCTTTCAATGATTGAAAGAAAAAAATTTTAAACATTTTATGTAAAATCAGTGTCGCTGAAAGTTAAAAGAAATCGTACAGCCGTTATACTTTAATGTAATGTCATATGATATTACATAATTTAAAAATAAAGAAAAAAATTGAACACATTGTATAATATCACGTGTTAATAATAATAATATAATATAATATAATATAATATAATATAATATAATATAATATAATATAATATAATTAATATAACGCGCGCGCATACACACACACACACACACACACACACACACACACACACACACACACACATATACAGAGAAAGACATCTTTTTATATAAGAAGATATTCGAAAAAAGTTAAAAAAAATCATTTGAATTTAGAGCAAACAATAAAAAAAAAGGATATCTGTAGTTATTTATTAAAAACTTTGATTTATGTATAGTATGATAATAATTAAATGGAAAACCGTGGAAAAGAAATATTTTGCATTTTATTCTAGAGAAGTATAAATAATAATTGATTAGATGAGCAAGAAATTCGAATTGTTGAATTCATGGTGAAAAGCGACTAGTGAAAATTCTTATATTTTATATATTTTAATTAGTAATCAATTTAAAAAATTATATATATTGATATATAATTTTAAACAATATAATACAAACAAGATGCATAAAGAATTTTAAATTTCATAAGTATTTTGATTTTGATTTTGTTTTACAAATATAAAATTTACATTATTATATTATTATTTAAATTAAAGAATACTCGTATTTTGTCACGAAATCAGTTTGTCTATATAATTATATAACTAAAAGAGGAAAGAAGTGAGAATGATAATTGTGTGTTACACAGAATAAAAGTATGTTGTAGAACTGCGGAGAATAATTAAATAAAATCTAAAATTAAAAGAACTGATCAATAATCAGAATCATAACTTACCTCAATGTTTATTCACAAAGAATAAGAAGAAGAAAGAATATTTCTTTGTATAAATATAATGATCATTGATTTTCAGTTCTATTTATCTTCTAATTGTGATTTATACAATTTATGCTATTAGATAATTATATGTAAAACAAATTTTACAGCGTATTTATAATTTTCTGAAAGCATTTATTAAAAGCTGTGTATTACACAACTTTTATGTTATCTTCGCATTCTCTTCTCTTTACATCGATCAAATAAAAAATATAATTTCATTTAAAGAATTAATTATATATAAAAAAAACAAACATAAAAATTGAAATATTTACAGATGTTAATTTTCTATAAAATATGAAAAACATATAAAAAACGAGAAACACTATGTTTTTTTTATTTTTTATTTATTTATATCACTTGTTTTGAAGATTTATGCAAATTGTTATAGAAAGATTGTATGCTTTTTCTTTTTATTTTTTTTTTTCTCTCACGAATAAAATTAATATCAATGATTATAATCATGAAAAACGCATCGAATGAGTAAGAGAAAATAATGCAAGTGACCTTAAAAAACTATTTATCATTTTGTCGGTATTCATAAGCGGAAATATATACTTATGTGCAAACTGTAATGATCCTAAATCAGACTTATTTCAATTCAAAGGTAAAATAAACCGATGTAATGAATACTTGAAATTGTATACAAAAAGAAAAAAAAACTATACTCGTTTTGTTTTAGGCGTAATTGTAAATCATTTTGTTATTTAGATTGATCATCTTAATTCAAAGTTTCTGAACGTTACCTTATAAACTTTTTTGCTATTTTTATGTTAAACGTCTACAAAAAAGTGTAATTTAATCGCTGTATATGATATTTCTCGAAAGAATATTCTTACCGCGATAAAATATTAATATCCTAATTTTTTTCACTTTATAAGAATCATTATCATTAATTCGTTTGCTTACGCACTACCTCAGTTTGGAGACGAGCTGCGAGTGCTTTGCGTACTTGCAATATGGATGGATCTAGAGATTCTGGTAATTTTAATTCTTGTTCCCCTTTAATCGTTGCTTCCGCTATTGTCCTTGCGGAACTCGGTCTCGTTGAATTCATTTCCAATCGTTGACTTCTTGCTTCTTTTTTTAATGCTACCAATTTATCGCGTCTAGCTTTCAAGTAAACCTGTCTCTTTTTTATATCTTCTTCTGATATCTAAAAAAATTAATATAATAAATAGCATAATGAATTTGATTTATTTGTTTCTATATAAATAATTAATATTATTATAAATACATTTTGTTCGTTTGATTTTGATTCATTTGTAGATATAGAATCTAAAGGAAGCGCTTTAGGAAATCTATGAGTATCTTTTTCTTTCTCTTTATCTCCCTCGTCTTCCTCTTTTTCTTTTTTTATTTTAATTTCTCTTTTTTTTGCTTCTTCTTCTTTTACTTTAAAAGATGATGAATCTCCCTTTTTTTCTTGTAATATTTTTAAAGTTTCTGATAACAATATCCTTTCATTATTATATTTAGCTATCAAACATTCGTGTTCTCTGATAAGCGAAGTTTCTGAGGATATATTTTGATCTTTCGAATCATTTTCCAATACATGTTTCCTATATATTTTTGTCTCGATAATTTTAAGTCAATTATAACATTTTAATTATATATAATTATGTGATTTATTTTATTCTTGTTCAACAAACAAGACTTACTGAATTAATTCTTCCATGACTAGAGGATCTTCGTTTGATGTATCCGTTTCGTACATCAAGGATACAGGTGTGAGGCCATACTTTTGCTCGATCATATTCAAAGCTTGTAGTTGAAGTTCCAGGTTCTTCTGTATCATCATTCTCTTGAATATCTCATACTCGTTCGCAGCCCATATTTGTTCAAACAAATTCTGAAATAAGTATCAAAATCAATACACGTTTTACATTTTTCTAACTTCTATTTAAGAAATCTTTTTAACTCGCCTGTTGGAATTGTATAGGCATTTTTGTATATTTATTTACGGTACAAGCGTACTCAAATTGTTCTGGAGTGATTCCCATGTCTTCCATAAAACAACCAAGCAATAAATCCACCAGATTTTTGTACTCCTGATATATCTTTTGATACTCATCATTTTCCTCGACATCCGCTTCGAATACTGTGAAAAAACAAAACAAAAAAAAATCGATTGAAGTATAAGATAACGTTTTTGAAAAATTAAAAGATTTGTTTATCGTATGATGTTTGAATAAAATAGTAACATCTTTTCTTATAATTTTCCATAAATCTAGAATTAATAGAAAGAATAATGTCATCTTCAAGAGAATTTTCAAGAAAATCTTAAGGAAGAAATAAATATTAATATAGATGATATAAAATGATTTATTGCATAAATATTTTAACTTACTGAGCGATTTCTCTTCAATGAAAGTAATGAGAGGCGTAGACCAAATAGGACCTTGAAGAAAACCAATCAAAGAGTCAAAGACCCAAGCGCTATCATCTTTTTCGTTCATTTTGTGCGATGCGGAGAATTTTTTTAGCACGTTTAATTGATTTTTTGCGAATTTCTTTGCAATAAAGGTTTGACACGTATTATTGGTGTCCCTTCTTAAGCGTAGTCATAGTTACCGTACGGCAAAACACTTTGCTTTAGACTTGCGCGAATGAACAGAAGCGATATTAATACATAATTCTTTATTTGAATTTTTTTTATTATAAAGTAACATTTTTATAGAATAGGTGTAGCAATAATTATAAAATGTCTTTGATTCATTCTGGTGTTTTTATTTATTATATATAACTTGCACATTATGTAAGATTTTCCTCCTTCTGTAAAACAACTAATTTATATTACTTATTTATAATAAAAAGAAGGATAGAGAGAGTGTATTAGTTTTTATAAGTTCCTAAGATAAGATAATGAATGTTTTGTAGGTAGTTATAATTATTTATTTATTAGGAAACAAATGATAAAACAAACGAATATACAATATATTATATATAAATAAAATGTTTGATAATTGGCGATCTGAAAGAAAATGATTTTATATATAAATTAAATTGTCTTATTTTTATATATAAAATCACTTACTTTTTTATCATAATACCAATTACCAGATACTTTTTATATGTATATAAAAAAAAAACTAATTTTAATTACATACATAAAATATACATTGCAAAAGCAAATTTTAAGAATTATGTCAACATATTTACAAAATAAAAAAATGTTGTGAATTATTATTAATTTTCAGATTTTTTTAGAAATTTATGATTGGATAGAATTATTATTAATTTTTATAAAATTTTACAAAAAAAAAAATAATACATGAAAGATATAATTCTCAGATATTATTTACAATATTTCTATTTTCTCATATCTTAATCAGAATAATCTTAATAAAAAATAGTGTAGCATAATATAATAAATTATGTACAACAATATTATCTTCAAAGATTTACAATTGGAAGTTATGTTGAGAATGATTCAAAGTATTCGTTGAGATCGTATGGGCTGGATGCGATGGCGCTGGTGTATAAAGGCTGTGATGTGAGTGAGATTTTGCTCTGGAGAGTTCACTATAGCGATCCTGTTCTGGCGGAGCGACCAAGAGGACTGGTCGTAAGGAGAGAGATTTCCGGGAACCAGCAACACTCTGTGCTTCGTTTACATATCCTGGATTTACTTCACCTAAAGAATGAAAAGAATATTTTAAAGATATTGTATTTGTAGAACATTAATTGTCTATAAGATATCGTAATGAAAATTTTTAAAAGGAATATAAAAAAAATAAAAGAAATATCAAAAATAAATCGCAAGAAATAATAAATTATTTTTTCTTTCAAATTCATTTTCTCAATTTTATAAATATGATAATCAAATAATCATAAATAAATTTATTTAATTTATACAGACTTCAGTTGAAATTTAATTCTTATAAAAGAAAGACCTATACCTTTGTATAAGGAACCATTGTTGAATGGTTCTGGTTGAAGTCTGACATGTCTAGATGCAAGGATAAAAGCGAGCGCAGCCAAGGTAGCAGCGTCTAAAGCGGCAATCGCTGCTAACGGTATTGCCCATCTAACTGCACAAGCTCCTGGATTGTATCTGTTAAATATATTAATTAAAATACATTAATTTTTCCACTAAATTTTAATCGAAATAATAGTTCGTTCTGAACGAAAAATAAAATAATTGCATTTATCATTATTTGTAATTAGTAAGAAAATAACTATTTTAATGTTATTATTTTGATATTATATGTATTAGTTAGAATCAAAATAATAAAAATGATCAATTAAAAAATTGAAAATTAGATAATTATGAAAAACATATTCTATAAGAGATTAAATAAGCAGATATTTATTTATTAGAATATCTACCTGGATGCAGTTGCACCACAGACAGCTCGAATTAATGCTGAATCCCAGCCTAATGGATAAATACAGACACCGATGGCCATAGATATTGCTGAAAAAATAAAAAGAATATTATTTTTTGGATAAAGATTATAAATGTGATTTAAACATTCAACAATAAATAAATTTCTAATTATATTAAACTTTTAAATAATTTATATTAAAATTATTTTTTTTTGAAGCTATAATTCGCCAAACGAGAATATGATTAACATAGTTGGCATTTCAATGAACTATCTCTTTTCGCGGATGTCATATTAGAAGTCAACAGTGAAAGGTTCGAGTCTTGCTTTTCTCGTTTCGTAGAATAAAACTACTTTTTATGTAAAAGAAGATGAATGACAAAGTGATAAAAACCAAATTTATTAATTTGAAAACAACAATAAACAAAATGTTGCCAAAATTTTAATCAACAATAAATGGTAATTTTTAAATAATATAAAAGATTATAAATTTGTTAATAAGAACCACTACAATATTTTTATAAATATTTTCGAATATGTAAAACATAAAGAATAAAAACGATATATAAATGATTTTAATGAATATTATGACGATTACATGCAAAATTTTTGATACATTGTATATTACATATGTGTTTTATATATATTGTGTATGTGAATATATATATATATATATTGTATAATCAATTTCTGAGAGTAAATGTTTACCTTCTATTCAGAGCTGATTCACATTTCAACCAACTTTCACTATCCGTATACGAAGCAGTGATGATTGTTACTAAATATTTTTAATTAATGATGATATTACTGTAAAACTTTTTCTTAAAATTTAATTTAAAATTTATCTGATTATTAAAATATTCTTTAATAAAATAATTAAAAAATATAAAATAATATATTTTTAAATAAAAATATATATTATTTAATTAAAAATATTATATTTTTATAATATTTAAATAAATTAAATAAATCTTGGATGAAAAACTTTCTTATTCAAGATCTAGCTTATATTTTATGATAAAGTCTAGTATTTTATTTTGTTGTGAATGATAATCTTATTTATTATTAATGAAATAAAAAAAAAAAGAGTAAAATTATCAAATTTTCGAATAAGCAATCATGAATATTATTACTACATCGCGTAACTTGTAAGATAAATCAAGCATGTCAATGTTCTTGAATTAGGTCAGCATCGTGCAGACAAGCATTTTAGAAGCATATCCGTATTTGATTAATTTAATAATTATTATTATTTCTATTTTACTATGAAAAAATTTTATTTCATTTATTTAAAAATTCATTTCTTTTATATTATAAATAGAATTAAAATATTAAATATTAATATAATGAAATAATATAATAATAGGAAAAATTATAAATAATTATAATATGTGAATAATCAAATAAAATATTATTTCATTCTAAAATAATATTAAATAAAAATATAATTCTGAAATAACTGTGACTGAATATATTAATTATAGAGAGGTTATTCAATAGGTAAACTAGCTATTGTGTATTATAACGGTTTATTTTATATTTCTCTTTTAAAACATCTTCATTTTAAACATTATTGTATTGCATTTCACAAGTACAATTCCGAAACTCTTTCTATTTTAAAAGAAAATTGATAATAAAAAAAACTTAACTAACTTTAAATCAGCAATAAATAAATAATAATTTATGCTATATCAATCATTGAAATTTATATAAATAGATATGATAAATAAATAGATTTTATATAAATGATTCTAAAAAATTTTTAAAGATTAATTTGAAAAATCTGAAAAAAACGGACTAAAGAAAAAAAAATATTGAATAATATTAATAGATTATTTCAACTCTATTAAATTAAATAAAGATAAAGATTTAACATTTGAATGCGGCATAAGATACATATAAATGACAAATAAAATTTATATAGAAAAATAATTTATTATAGAAAAGTACAAGAATGCATTGAAATTTTAATTGCATCACTATCTGATCCAATAGCTTTGGTATACGTAATTTTCAATTGCATTGCGATGATAAGGTATTATGCAGACGATTATAGCAATAGCTCGCGAGAATACCTAATCGTGTTATATTTTCTAAAAACGATGTATTATTTTGTATGTTATTTTGTTTCGATAAAAATATTAAAAAATACTTAAGAAAAAAATCATAGAATGAAATATTCATGTATTATAGAAATAAATAGATTTGATTACAATTATCACGCACGATTAATAATAATAATAGGAGGAGCAATAATTACCTGAAACTACTTGCATCCAGGCGCAGATATAGAAAACTGTTGTACTCTGACAAAAAAAAAACAGGAGCATCGCACAAATAGTCAATAAAGCGATTATGACCGCGATGCCGACTAGAATAGTGCTTATTCTGAAAGGAACATTCGCGATTGTCGATAGATCATCCAATCTGCCTATACATTCCTCACCTAATTCACCTGAGAGAAATGAAATGAAAAAACGATGCCATTTACAAACAAGTTCAATGAAAATTATGATATTACGATATTGGTTCTTGAAAATAAAAAAAAGTAAAAAAATGAATTTACCATTACCACCATAATTGCATCTAGTCCAAAGACCGAATCTTCCTGGATTCTCGTGTTCTAAGTCACCCAGCCATTCTGGAGTGATAAAAGCTACGACTCCGATTATGGCGTAGCATATGGTGAAAATACCCCAGAGAACACCAATTGCCTTCGAATTACGAATGTAATTCGTTGCATACATATGTGACGATTCTACATATTCTATCTTCGAACCCATTTTATTCTAATTAAACATATTTATTGATTATTTCTTATTAAAAGATACGGTGATTTTTTAATTATTAAAATATAGATATTGGGATAAAAAAAATCGTTCTAAGATTTTCCTCATTTCAAGAAATATATAATAACAAAAATATATCATAAATATTAATTTTTCAATATTTTCGAGCAATATGTTATTTGATATTAATCGAGTTTTTTTATTAATTCTTTTTCTAAACATTGCTATAATCATTACAAAGATTACTTTATTAATATTATCAAAGACGCAAATACATACTTTCTTCGCAAATCGATCGTCTTCAATGTTTCTTCATCACCGATTCTGCGATTTCTTGTTGAGTTTCAAGTGTTCGTTCTCACATTAAATCGGTACTAGTGCCGTTCGTGACATTTGCATCAGAATATTCACTGATAGGATTAAAAAAATATAGCACGTTTTTCTTTGTAACGACCTATTGATCAGAATGTAATAAAACGCGATTCATTAATCATATTACCTTTTTATTGGTTCGATCAAAATATAACGTTTCATTCTCGAGTTACAGATCGAAGATAAAGATTTATGTTATAAAAGTATTTATAAAATTTGCTGATTGATACATCAATTTGTAAACAGCGCACAAAACAAGGCGCGCGTTTTGATACGAGTTTAAAATCAAAACCATTTTATTGCTCCAATCGAAAATTACAAAATTAAAAATTTTAAACAAAATTTATATTTAGAACATAATATATATTATGTCAATATATAAAAATAATAATGCAATATACTACATTATATATTAAAAAAATATAGACTTAAATTTTGAAATTAAAAAAATTAAAATAGTAACAATTTCTTAAGAAAAATATGTATATTCGATTAAATCATTAAGAACTTTCATATTGAAGCTTCTTCCAAACTCAATTCAATCTTTGACATACCTTTTTCTCTTCCTTTCTCCGTTAAACTCAAGGTATTTTGGAAGACATGTTTAAAATTAACAATCACTAAATTTCACTAATTCACTGTATTTTATTTTATTTTTTAAAAATCTTCACTTCTTTTAAATACACTATATGGAAAAAAGAAACGAATATTCCACATAGAAGAAATTAATTAAAATATTTATTTGAAAGAAAGAATTTCGATTTAAATATAAATGAGATTGCAAAAGAAGAATTAGGATAAAGGATGGTAAGTCCGTTGAATCGATTCACATAGCCGCTGCTAGTTACGAGTTGATGCAGCTGATCACCTCGACGAATGGAAAATACGTCTTAAAGAGGACAAGCTATGATAGCGCGTTGTGTAGCTCAAGATGGCTGTCCAGGTGAACTAAGGTTGTCAAGTAAGTAAAAAAGAGGGAGTCTAATGTGAGAGAATGAGATGAGAACTGTGAATGGGGCCTTTTTATGGGCCCTGAGCTCAAGAGAAAGGTGATGTCGTTATAGAATGCGAGGAGTAGGGATGTCGATTTGTATGTAGGCTTTTCTTCAGAGACTATTCTTTGTTGTATTGAAAAAATAAAAATGAATATTGTTCTTTATGTTAGAAAATATAAAATATTTTTAAAAATATTAATGTAAAAATATTATAAATGAATAAACGAAGAACATTTTCTAACTTTTTTTACATATAATATTGATAGATATTGAAAAACATATGTAATATTATTTATACAGTTATCATTTGAAACTTTCAAATAGAAACAAATATTATAATAAAAAAAATATTTTAAATATAAATTAAATAATTCTAGAATTGTTGAAAATAGATATAAATCGAATACAAAATGAAAAGTTATATATTTTTTCACTTGGTCCCGGACTCTACATATTTTTGTAGTGACGTGATAACATGATTACTAACTGTATCTCTCGAATTTATTATATCTCTATAAAACATATTTAGTTTCTATTATATTAAATTGAAATTCTATGGAAAAAATTCTAAGATAGAATTAATTTTTTTATTAAGATATGTTATTATATAAATAATACAAATATTAATTTACAGATACATGGTTTAGAAATTGATTAACTTTACTTTTGAGAAAAAGCATAGTATTTAATATTAATTTCTATATTTTTTAAAGTTAAATGATTAAGAAAAATTAAAATTATTTGCAATTTTAATTTGTTTATCTTTACATTATCTTTATTTCATTTCTCAAATTTTAAATTATCATTGTCATTTTTTCATCATATATTTTTTTCATTTTAATCATCAAGTTTAAATAAGTTATAAGTAAATAGTTTAAATAAAAATTAATTTATTCATATTTGAAATATATTTTGAATAAATATAGTTATTTAAAAAATTCCCTATTAAATGTATTCTATTGCCATCTATCTACATTATTTAAAATGTACGTTTTGTTTTGAAAATATATTTCTAACCTATATACAATCTAAAAATGGCTAATAGAACAGTAAAAGATGCAAAATCCATTAGAGGTACAAATCCACAATATTTAGTAGAAAAAATAATTAGATCTCGAGTATATGATTCAAAATATTGGAAAGAAGAATGCTTTGCTTTAACTGCAGAACTTTTGGTTGATAAAGCTATGGAATTGAGGTTAGTAAATATTATTAAATATAATTTAAATAAATTATTTGTGATTTTATTTATGTAATATACTATTTAATTGTTTTTATTATATATTTTTGGGATTTTTTAAAATTTTGTTAGAATATAATCTATTAACAAAAACAAATATATTTTATATAGGTACATAGGTGGTGTATATGGTGGAAATGTAAAACCAACACCATTTCTTTGTTTAATATTAAAAATGTTGCAAATACAACCTGAAAAAGATATTATAGTAGAATTTATAAAAAATGAAGAATTTAAATATGTTCGTGCTCTGGGAGCTTTGTATATGAGATTGACAGGATCTTCTTTAGATTGTTATAAATATTTGGAACCATTATTTAATGACAATAGAAAGTTAAGAAGACAAAATAAACAAGGTAAATTTGAATTGATCCATATGGATGAATTTATAGATGACCTTCTTAGAGAAGAAAGATGTTGTGATGTAATTCTACCAAGAATACAAAAAAGACATGTTCTTGAAGAAAATAATGAATTAGGTAAACTTTTTAAATTTATAAACATATGAACAAAAAATAAGAATAATTCAAATAATCATTTCTATGTTATAGAAGCAAAAATATCTGCATTAGAAGATGATATGGATGAAGGAATAGAATCTTCAGAAGATGAAGATATACCTCCAGTTAAAGAAGAAACTCGCAAAAGAACAGATGATCATGATAGGGATAGAGATCGTCATAGAGATAGAGATAAAAGACATTCACGTTCTGATAAAAAATCTGATAGAGAAAAACAGAGATCGAGAAGTAGAGATAGAGATAGAGATAGACGAGAACGTAAACGAAGTAAATCTCCTAAAAGTCATTCTTCGCATAAAGATAAAGATAGAGACAAGGATCGACATAGACGAGATGATAGAGATAGAGAAAGAGATCGAGATCGAGAACGAAGACGAGAACGTGATAGAACTAGGCATTGAATTGAAATATCAAGATATGAAAAATATTGTACAGAATATGAGAATTAATTTTTATAACTACCAGGTAAATAAAAAACGTAAAATGATATATCTCTTGAATTTTTATATCATATATATTGCATTTCGATTGCGATTAACAATAATGTGTAACATATACAAGGAATAGTTTCGTATTAAAATTATAGGATTTTATATCTATAGAAACGCTACATAGTAGCTTATAATACCCGTACATTATATGTTGTGACAATATATTTTTTTTTTAATGTCATTCTATTTATTCTATTTGGAATCATTACTTTCGATTTAATATTATGAAATAATGGCCATTTTTACGTTTATTTACAAAACTTTAGAGGAAATTTATCACTTTCATTGTTAAAAACAAATTATTTTATAATTTGTAAAATTTATGTTATTTTAAATGATATAAAAAGATATTGTATTTTAAATAATCTTTTTTTAACAATGCAATGACAAGTTTTCTCAAGCACCATGTAATAAAATAAATTGAAAATGTCATAGCCTGTCTATAAATATAATCCACATTACATGCGTAATGCTTTTAAATATATACATTTTCACATATGTACTTATAATAGTACTTTTTATAATAAAAAATGGTGAGCAAAGTATAGTATCAAGTATCATATAAGAGAAACGTGAATGCATTTATCGTGAATAATAATTTCTTTTTAGCAATTTATAATTCGTTAGATTAATATAAATAATTAATGCATTTCACGTCATTTTAAATTAAATTATCCCCCCAAATATACATTTTTATAATTTTTTAAAATTTATTACATCAGTATTTAAAATGTGGGTGAATTTAAAATAAATAATCTTTCTTCCTCTTTTTTTATCCATTTTAACAATTTACTCACTGCCTCAATTGCATCAGGTTTTGTTACAAGTGGTTCAAATGTAACATATAATTCAAAACCTAATGTTACCTACAAAATATATACATGTTAATTGCAACATAATAATAATTTTTATTATATTTACATCATTTATTTGAGCTTACCCATGCTAACATAGTCTCTTTATCTAATTGTTGGAATATAAGTTTTAATGGTCGATTTGGGCTGTGTAATCTGTGATGTAAACATTGATAAAGCCCTAACAAACTATAAAAAAATTAAAGTTTTTCATTATTACGTTTTTATCTGATTATTTTATATTTTTTAATATTACCGTTCTATTTCTTCATCTGTTGTATATGGAGGTTGAAATCCAGGACTCCAAAATTGTGCTGTGCTTCTACATTTATATAAAACATGTCGCATTTCTGGCAATCCAATATCAGCAGTTTTAATTGATGGTTTATTCATAGATTCGTTAATTGCTTCTAAGCAATTTGTTCTCCTTAATTTTTCTACAATTTTCTATAAAATTTATTATTTTTAATATTATTTTTTAAATGTTTTATAAACATTTATTGTGTCACCTACTTGTTTTGCTTCAGAAAGAATAAAAAAGACATCTCTATCAACTGTAAGTAACAATAAGCATGCCTGACAATCCTCAGCCAAATATGATACATGTCCATGCATATAACCATTGGCATCAAACTTTGGTAGACATATTGGTGTCCAACTTTCAGCAGTCTTAAGTGACTCTGAACTATCAACTAAGTTTTGTATTATATGTAAATCCACAGGATGTAAAAAAAATTTGTTCATTCTAACTAATGTTACTAATTGATTATTAGCTAGAAGTATTGCAAATACTAAATTCTGAAAAATGTTAATTCTGATTAATATTGTTTACAAAAATTGTAATATAATGTTAATTTAAATAATTTGTAAGTTATATTACCTTGATTTTACCACATGTTTGAATAATAGTTTGTGTAATAGAACTTCTCATGGATGGTAATAAAGGCAAACATTTAATAGCTCCTAAAAAGAATGCAGGTTCTCTGTCCATAAAATTTAATAAATGATCTATCAGTCTTTCACTACCAGTTAATAATCTTCTTAAATCAAAATTTCTACGTTGTTCATATACTCTAGTTAATTGTGACTGGGTTAACACAGAAATTATTTGGTTATATACATATCTGCAATAAAAAAATTTATATAAATATCTTAAGAGAATTAAATAAAGTAATATATATTCTATTATAGTATACAAACGTTAATTGTAATGTAAGTTGAGGTACAGTTTCAAGTGTTTTTGACACTGCAACTAGAATTAATGGACCTTTTACAACAAATACAAAATTAGTATCTCCTGCATGAACAGATCTAATCATATCACTGCCTGCTTGAACAAATGAAACTAGAGCTTGCATAACACCCATAACTGTGACTAGTTTATCTTCTGAACTATATCTAGAGTATATGGGTTTTCCTGCTTGGCTTAAAATAAATACATGTTTTTTTTGTGCTAACCATGTTCTACAACGTAAAGGATCTGAATCAATATTACTTTGACCTAATCGGTGTGTAACATCCTCCTAAAACAGAATTTTAATTAAATTAAACAAATTTGATTAAGATTTTCAATATATAATTTAATAATAATTTTTAAAAAGAAATAACTTTTTGAGTGATTCTTAATTATTAAAAACAATCCTTATTATTTTTATTCGATATTTGAATTGATTCATTAATTTTTTTTTTAAATTGAAATATATTTTTTTAAAATGTTTAAAAAAAAAAAAAGGTTATGAAACATACTAATTCGGAATCATCGAATGAAGTTGTTTTTTGAAGTTCTTGTGAATTAGATGCAGT